CAGGTTGTGCTCGCATAGCCCTCTAAGGTTACCTACCACCAGCTTAGATAAGAAAATTCATGTATTTAACAGTTGGTAGGGTTTCCATTTAATTACATTTAAATATTATGTAATTTTGCGTAATTGAGTGAATCTGTTTTGTTTTAATTGCTTAAACCTTAATAGCTAAATTTAATTAAATATAATAAGCTTAAATTTATTTAGTTGTAAACGAGCTCACGTTCCACCTGGTGTTAAGTGCCCATAGACATCTACAACGTAAATTCCGCTACCCACCTTGAGACATGAGTTATAAGGTCTCACTTTTAACAGTACAACGGCTGCCCCGCCCTTCAAACCGAAACGCATTACTGCTTCACGGCAGAAATGGGTAGGGTTGTGGTACCGACCCGTGCGGACTCTCAACACGTCCTACCACCAATAATTACGCAAATTACAATTTTGTGGGTTTCATTTATATTACACAATATTATTCCTTCACCGTAAAAGTCAATCGTGAACATTTGTTAAGTACGTATTTCATTAGAAAAAATATTACCTGCTTGCGGGATTCGAACGCCGATACGGTCGCATCGCTCGATACGAATGCACCGAGCGTCTTATCCTTTAGGCCACGACGACTTCGGATTCAGATTTGCATCGGTTTTCGCGGCAACTAGCTTTACAATTTAATCTAGCTAGTATTGTTTAAAGTTCCTTTAACAATTGCTATACTGTAGCACTTAGCACAATGTCCAGATGTTCACGAATTATAAGCACCTTGAGTCTTTAGTTTGGCCGCCAAACACGAAAACTGTACATTATTCGAANGCTATACTGTAGCACTTAGCACAATGTCCAGATGTTCACGAATTATAAGCACCTTGAGTCTTTAGTTTGGCCGCCAAACACGAAAACTGTACATTATTCGAAACGCAGGAATTATGTAATGACAATAAAAAAACAAGAGACTAAACAGCTAAAATCTATATATTAATACGTGAAGCAAAAACTTTGTATCCCTTTTTACGTAAATTGCGCGGACGGAGGAGTATGAAATTATCAACACTTATAGAGAACATAGAGAAGAAGTGCACAATGCTAATATTTTTTTTAAATAATGCATAAAAGATACATTAAATCAATAAAGAAAACATTACACACACTACATACCATGTATTTGACGCACACGCGCATGCATACTATTTATTTATTGTCAAACTTTTGTTCTTGACGTCTGTGGTCAAATTGAGAATAGATTAAATATTGTTTGTCTTTATTAATATTTTTCTATAGAGTGTAGTCTTGCCGAAATTTGTGATTTATAAAATAGTCTTTGAAAATAGAATCACAATAGTGTACATGCTCACTATTTCATGTAATTATAGTCGAATTTCGACTACTGCGGGACCACTAGAGACAATAAAAAAACAAGAGACTTAGGGTGGATTCGACCAAACTTAAATTTATACTCGAGTAACTATACGAGGAATAACCTATTCCATGATTTTAATCTCGAGTAAATCCATAGTCGTTTTTCCACGTATACCTACTTGCGCTAGGAATAACAATACGCGAATAGCAGAGTGAATGGTGAACAAAAATAAAATCCGGCAAATAAATGTTGTTGTACAACGGCATAGTGTGGTTTTATCTTTTTTCGTTTAAACGTTGCATTATACAATGCCAGACTATTAATAATAATTTAGTGCATTGCGTTGACTTGAAATTAAAACAGAATAAATATTTATGAAATGACAGAAATCAGATGATTGGACTGACAGACGACATTACTTTATTCTAGGAATAGCTCCGTTATTCCGTGCGAAACGGCGGTATAGTAATAATTCCCGAATAGGCCCACTATTCTTAGAATTGTAGATGGTAAAACGTAAAATTGATTTACTCTCGATTAACTGACGAGTTATTCTAAGAATAAAATTTACTCTTGTTTGGTCGAATCGACCCTAAACAGTCAAAATATTTTTAATGGTATACAGTATTGCTCATTAAAATTTAGTAGGCGTTAACACCTTCATTCGCTCGATATGTTTGTATGTAATGATATCTTTGAACGTCATTTATATCGACTTCAAGACGTTGGATTAACTTGAAAATTTTGCACACGCATCAAGGACCACGATGACGATACAATATTTATTCTAACTACGCTCTAATATCCTGACCATTATCGTAGAGATAAAAAATGAATTGATTTAGTCAACTCACTGCATTTCTCGCCGGATCTTCTTAGTGGGTCGCGTTTCCGATCTGGTGGTAGATTCTGCGAAGCACTGCTCTTGCTAAGGCTAGTGTTAGCAACTCTTCCGGTTTGAGCCCCGTGAGCTCACCTACACGACAAGGAGAAGCTGCAATAGCCTTTCAAGGCTATCAGCATAGCTAGGGAATAAAAAAGTGTAAGTCATCAATTCTGTTTCCAATTTAAGTGTGTTTCTTATAGTTTTTTAAAATTAAATTTATTTTGAGGTATTAAAACGGTAGCTTAATATCTAAATGCATTTTAGTAACATGGTGTTTTTGAACATTTTGAAAAAAAAGATTGGCACTAGAAGACGGGTGCGTAGGTTTACTGGTGGTAGGACGTGTTGAGAGCCCGCACGAGAAGGTACCACCACCCTAACCATTTCTGCCGTGAAGCAGTAATTCGTTTCGGATTGAAGAGTGGGGCAGCCGTTGTAACTATACTGAGACCTTAGAACTTATATCTCAATGTGGGTGGCGCATTTACGTCGTAGATGTCTATGGGCTCCAGTAACCACTTAACAACACATGGGCTGTGAGCTCGTTCACCCATCTAAGCAATAAAACAAACGCATTTCAGTAACACGGTGTCTTTGACCATTTTGAAAAAAAAAAGATCAGTACGAGAAGACGGCTGCGTAACAACAATTTTGAGTTAGGAGAAATTTATTTATGCAGAGTTTATTTACTCCTAGGCGGGTGGTGTGGTGGCAAAAAAGAAGACAATCGCAACGAATTCGTCGGAGCACTCCTCATGGAATTGGTTTCACATTTAGAGTTCGCACGCGTATGTAAGTACCACTATCTTGGCTTATTTCAGCCGCGAAACTGTCCCCCGTTCGGCATTTATGGGTCTAACAACGGTCAAGAGGCACAATTAAGGCTCGACCCTCGTCTGAGGGTGTGAACACCCCCAGAACCTCTGGGATCCTAAATACTAGTAGTGCTCTGAGGAATTGTTCGAGATGATACCTTCATCTCGTTTTACCATCGCACCGCCCGCCACCGGAGTAGAGTTCATCCATACTACCTGGAGCCACTGCGGTCATCCACAGTGCGTTTCCAGAGGTATTTTTTACCACGTACCATCCGGCTATGGAATGAGCTCCTCTCCACGGTGTTTCCCGAACGCTATGACATGACCTTCTTCAAACGAGGCTTGTGCAGAGTATTAAGCAGTAAGCAGCGGCTTCGCTCTGCCCCCGTCATCGCTGAAGTCCATGGGCGACGGTAACCACTCACCATCAGGTGGGTCGTATGCTCGTCTGCATACAAGGGCAATAAGAAAAAAATACTGCGATTAACATTTAAAAACTGGTTTTTATTACATCCACCACTCGCGGAAGTCGAAGGGCGATACTATCCTCAAACCTTCATCGTCAAGACGAGGCTTATACCTTAACGGATCATCTCAGAATGCGTCCTTAGGAATCTGCGTCTCGTAATCTTGATGCTAACACGAACGATTACATTGTATCTGAACTAATTTATTTATGTCGCCACAAACACGTGTACTATCAAACAGACAATGAATATCATTACCAAATCGATCGGCGTAATACGAAACAACGGCATGCGTCTTATTGCCAAGCACATGAAGTCTTAAATCGATTGAATTTTAAATGTTTGATAGTGATCTCTGTTTGGTATACCGTACCCTTCGTGATGGCAATAGATCCGTATAAATAGGTGGGATTTGTTTGGAGATAGCAACAGTCAACGGTCAGAGGTTGCTTCTTCATACCGCGCAGGTAGATACAGATTTTAAGTTAAGCTTTTTTTAAAGCTACGTTTGCGTGAGAAAGTTTTGTGACGTATTGTTGCGATTTGTAACGCAAGCTTTATTTGCGTTCGAGGTATCTTTTACTGATGAAACTTATTGCTTAGAAGACCATCCCCCATTTCACCCCTGTCCTGCCACCCTTGTACGCTCGTGCTTTATGGGTTTGTGGTATTATTTGATTTCCATACCACTCCCTGACTTTCCAAGTCCAAGGCCAGACAAGGCAAGAAAAGGCATAAGGTCCCTGGTGGCAGAACGCATTGTAAGGTACCACGGACCCTGCCTATCTATCTTCGGAAACACTAAAGCTTTTCCGTAATGGTGAGAGACGTTAAGCAATAAAATTGAAATTTCGACCTCATCTCTCAAGGTTCACCTATCAAGGCAAATAAAACACAAAAAATGCCACCCATAATCGTCTCAAAAAATGGACCACAGCTTATTCCTGCCAAATCAATCATCGGTTCCAATTTAGTGCATAAAATAGCTATGAACCTATATTTTAAGGGGGGTTTTGAAAAGAGCGGGTTCTAAATCTGCACGGTTTTGCAAAAATAACAAGAAGGTTACCGGGGAATAGGAGGCCGGGCTTTGGCTCTGTCAAATTCGCTGGATACAGCCACCTATAGATAGGACCGGCGATCGAAATGCCCACGTTTCTTGAGGCCGATCAGGAAATATTAGCAGCAGCTAGAAGCTATGTTGGTATCTGCCTTTCACGAATTAAGACACGGTCATCGGACTTTAGTTGATGCTTAATGCGGTTAATGCTCTTCTGCGCCCTTACCCAATTCCCCAAAAGCGGTGCTTATTATAGATAGCCGTTTGATAGCTTTGTCTCTATGCTCACCTAAGATTCTGGAGAACGCCAATAAAAAAAATAGTCTTAAAAGCTATAAGTTCCCAAAAATCAGCATCGCTTAAGAAATTCACTTTCTGAAATTAAATTTAATTGTGTTTTTTTGTTACAGATTTACTGATCTTGAATAACATCAGAATGAAGGTATGTTTTATGATGGTTCTTATTAGGTAGGTACTCTGTCTTAATTGAAAATTGTTTTTGTTTAACATGAAACACGCTTTTTTACAATAAATTAATTTTTCTTACACTATTTTTAATTCAAATTTATTAAAATTTATTATCAATTTTTTTAATTTCAATTTTTTTAACTTTTTTTTTAATTTGTTTAAATATTGAATTGTCATCGTTCCTTAATAAGTATACCGAATTTCGAGTTAATCCGACGTTTTTAAGGGGGTCAAAATCATGTTCAAAGATTCCGTTACATACATACGTCTGAAGCTAATAAAAGCGTATTAAAAATGTATGCTGTATAGTTAACACGTCAACTGCGTTATACGATTTATATAGCCCCATACGCGACTGTTCCCTGGTGTGATCGTCAAAGCCGCATTCTTTCGCTTGTTGCGGAAGACGAATATGCCCCAAATTCCTATGGGTATATTCAATAATGGTCCTTTGTGAGGCCTATCCTCATAGGCCTTTTTTTGCCACGTACCATCCGGCTATGGAATGAGCTCCCCTACACGGTGTTTCCCGAGCGCTATGACATGTCCTTCTTCAAATGAGGCCTGTGGAGAGTATTAAGCGGTAGGCAGCGGCTTGGCTCTGCCCCTGGCATTGTTGGAGTCCATGGGCGACGGTGATCACTCACCATCAGGTGGGCCGTATGCTCGTCTGCCTACAAACGCAAAAAAAACACTGTAAACAAGTTAAATCTTGCCTCGAAAAGGCCTCATACGCTCTGCCGGAAAGTCGCTCAAAAATCGATCCCGCAGTAAGCACAAACATCTTAAAATTAGCCAATAATTCCATGTCCAATTTTCCGAAGCGCACAATTCAAAAACATTCGTCTTATGGATTAACTAGCGACCCGCCCTCGCTTCGCTTCGGAATCTGTAATTTATTATTGATTTCTCCACTATTTAATGGATGTTATTATACATATAAACCTTCCTCTTCAATCACTTTATCTATTTAAAAAAACCGCATCAAAATCCGTTGCGTAGTTTTAAAGACTTAAAAGCATACATAGGGATATAGGGACAGAGAAAGCGACTTTGTTTTATACTATTCTTATGGATTAATTATTTCGAATTTAATACATTCCAGGTTATCATTCCACTGCTTTGCTTGCTGTCTGCTGTTTTAGCCGAGCCACCTGTGTAAGTTATCATCTCGTCATAACATAATATATAAGATTGTGATATTATAATACCGGGTATCATATAATACCTACCTAACTGAAGGAGGGTTTGCTAAACAATGGAAGATTTTGGAACCCTAGGCCGATAGGCACTATGAACTGAGAGACATTCTGTAAAATATACAAAAACTAAATCGAGAGTCCTAAAGGTTCAAGATAAAGGGCTTTTGATTGATTTTTTTATATTTTTTTATTTTGTTGTTTTGATTGATCGATTGATTATATAGCTCAGCCTGTAATGTTCCATTTCACCATTTCACATGCCCCTTTGCTTTTATTTAGAAATAGGATTCGAATTGTTCAATTGCTTTTCTTACTATTAAGAAACTCATCTACAAAGATGAAAAAAAAAAAAATCAAATTAAAATTTATCAAATTATATGATTCCAGTGACAGTTATTCGTTATCGAGATCATCCCACCACGACCACGACCATGGCGACGACGAATTCCAAAGATCTCTGTCTCAAGAGTACGGGGTACCTCAAACCGGCTCTTTCCGAAATACCCCTTCAACAGAATACGGCCCCCCAAGCGCCAAATCTTCATTAAACTATCTTCCATCTTCGGGAAGGGCGTCCCAGGAATACGGTCTACCTAGCCGTAGTCTATCCCAAGAGTATGGAGCGCCTAAATCTCGATCAAATCTCAAACTTTCCCAAGACTACGGTCTACCTAACGCTCGTGCCAATTCAAAACCATCTCAAGTTTACGGTGCTCCTAATCCTCGTGGCTCTCCGTCTCTGGAATATGGACCTCCCCAAGACTTTTCCGGGGCGAACGTTGACTCTTATGCAGTGGAACATGCACCGTCATCTCAATATGGTACCCCTGAAGTACGTACACCTTCCGAAAATTACGGCGTGCCTCAAAGAAACCATGACCATCGCTCTCAGAAACAAGCCCGCAACCAAGCGTTATCTCGCAAATATGGTGTGCCTTCAGGCCGTTCGAACGACGTTTCTCAAAGTTACGGTGCTCCAAAGAACTCTTTCAAATCTTTCGCCGCCAGGAATTCACCTTCTCAAAGCTACGGCGCCCCTAAATCAGGACAGTTAGATGCTCCGTCCACTTCGTACGGAGTACCTAGTGCTTCTCAAGGATTCAAATCATTGTCTTCAACGTACGGTACACCGAGTCAGAGAGGCTTGTCAGAGACATATGGAACTCCTTCCGCCAGGGGACTGTCTCAAGAATACGGAGCTCCCACTGATTCTGATCTGAAGACTAAGGCTATTGCATCTACTTATGCATCTGGCAGGTTTGTTTCTTATATTCACATGTGGGTTGCGGGATTATTAACACTGTAATGTCTATGTAGTCGTTTTAAAAGATGCGAAAGACCGACCATTCGCTTTATTATTAGATGACCAATCAATAGTGAACGGTTACCGTTGCCTATTAACTGCCGTCTGTGGTCAAGACCAAGTCGCTGTCTAGGCTGAGGCCTCATTTCGAACTTCGTCCGAGGATGTACACGCCACAATATTCCGTACTGGTGATTGATTATTATTATTTTGTTGCAAATTTGCATTCAATTCAAGTAATGTAATCAGACTCGATTGGGGAGAAATGAAATCGTAAGGGGAAGTTCTAAGGTTGTCGCAATGGTTCCAAAAACTCACAGAGACTCGTCTTAGATGTTACGTGAAACTTAGGGACGATGACTACGTCGGTCATTGGGCGCTGGAACTGTTTGAAGAAGGGCCCAGAAATTGACACCCCTGGTCATTGTGGCCATTATGACCAACACTTAAAGAGGTCCAGATTGACAGTGTAACAACTCAGAATCGAAATTCCTGGCGCAGATAACTTAAAGGAGCCGATCTACCTAAAGTAGTATAAGGAAAAGAAGAACATAAATAACATGTATCAAATCTATACTAATATATAAATCTACAGTGGTTTTTACGGATGTTCCGTTATAACTACTGAACCATGCATCCGCTTGACTTGAAACTTGGTATCCATGTAGAAAATACATGTACTTATTGGATAGGCTAATATTTATATGAGTGTTGGACTCCCTACACCAGTTGCGTGGGCGTTAATGATGAGAATCTTTGTGGGGGTGAGAAATAATAATGTTAATTTTAAATGCCCGCCGAAGCGGAAGGTTGGGTACAGCTAGTTACTTCATAAAACTCATTAAAAAATAACTTGCTCCGCTTGTCCCAGAGCATCGCCTTCCCATGTCTATGGAGTACCATCAGCGCGCGACTCCATGCCATCAGACCAGTACGGTGTGCCGGAACAATATTCGGCCCTAAACGACCAGAGCTATGAATACGCCAGAGCCGCTTTGGAAGAACTGAATCAGGTAACAACTATTCCCTATATGGATCTGGAGGTAAGTATCTTTTACGAGCTCACGTTTTGTTAGTGGTAGTAGGTACGACCACCCTGCCTATTTCTGTCGTGAACCAGTAATGCGTTTCGGTATGAAGGGTGGGGCAGCCGTTGTAACTATACTGAGACCTTAGAACTTATATCTCAAGGTGGGTTGCGCATTTGCGTTGTAGATGTCTACGGGCTCCAGTATCCACTTAACACCAGGTGGGCTGTGAGCTCGTCCACCCATCTAAGCAATAAAAAAAAAAAAATGCGGGCTTCATTTTCTGCACTATTATTAAAGAAATTACCCGTGAATACGTTTTAAGTTCGCATTATTATTAGTTTAACTGATATCTGTGGGATTTGGCACCCATCGCGTCATTATTCATAATTACACAATGTGTGATTCAATTGAGTGTTCAATTAAATGAGAAACATTCGATCGGTTACTACATATTTTCCTTAAAAACACAAAATTAATCAAAACACGTATATGCTCTTTGTTTTTATCGACCCGAATTGACCCATTTGTGAATTGGTTTTCCCGTTGTTCTAACTGCTTAAGTTGCAATGAAATTCACAATTGTAAGTTCATTGCGGCTTTTACAGTTTCCAGCGATTTTGGGGGGAGTACATCTATATATATAAAAATGAATTGCTGTTCGTTAGTCTTACTAAAACTCGAGAACGGCTGGACCGATTTGGCTAATTTTGGTCTTGAATTATTTTTGGAAGTCCATAGAAGGTTTAAAAGGTAAATAAATATGAAAACGCTCTTTGATGTGTCCCCGTCGGACGGATTCCTTTTGTTTGTTTTAAGTTTATTTTATACAAAAGCTTAAGGTCTTTTATTTATCGATTGAGGCACTACGAAGTCTGCCGGGTCAGCTAGTTATTATTATAAAGATTCACATTAAAATTTAGTTTTTTAATACGATAAAATTGTCACAACGCTTCAGTCGTTTCTCTGTATTTTCGTAAGACCATTCTCTATCCCGGAATAGTTCAGAGATCTTTCTTCCAGGAACCGGCCAACTACGATTTCGCTTACAAAGTAAACGATTATGTCAGCGGCAGTGACTTCGGACACGCGGAGTCGAGACAAGAGAATCGGGCCGAAGGAACGTATTTCGTGGTACTCCCAGATGGCACTAAACAGGTGACTTATTTTGATTGTTTTTAGTTCCAAAATAGCCAATCAAATTTTTGAAGCGATACTCAAAAGGTAACTGTTGAAGACAATTGAAATATATCCTTTAAGTTTTTTGTAATGAAATACGTACTCAACAAATGTGCACGATTGACTTCCACGGTGAAGGAATAATATCGTGTAATAAATAATAAATTACTGGTGGTAGGACCTCTTGTGAGTCCGCACGGGTAGGTACCACCATCCTGCCTATTTCTGCCGTGAAGCAGTAATGCGTTTCGGTTTGAAGGGTGGGGCCGCCGTTGTAACTATACTGAGGCCTTACAACTTATATCTCAAAGTGGGAGTTTCTAGCGTTCTAAAACCTTCTCTTTCCCAGGTGGTAGAGTACGAAGCTGATGAGCGCGGCTTCAAGCCCAGGATCTCAGTGGAACCGGTCGAAACCGACCTTGGCTATGACGACAACGCATCAGATTTGACCAAATCTGAGAACGGTCCTTATTAGACTTATTATCATTAGACTAATAACATTCGTTCGTTATCAGCGCTTGGCGAATGGAACGTGGTGATGAATTGTAACGAAATTAAATCGCCAGATAAATCGGCCATCTTTTTTTTTATTGTTTCTATTTTAGTTTAGCTTTAGTGTAATTTGTGTATCGTTTTAGTAAGATTTTTAAAGTCTGGCAACATTGAGAATTTAGGGGAATTTAATAGCGTATGGGATATTCCAACTACTCACGGATTGGTAGGTAAATTCACTGGCCCTAGCAAGAGCAGTGCTTCGCTGAATCTACCAATAGATCGGAATCGCGACCCACTGAGAAGATCCGGCTTGAAAGTTACACAAATTGTTTTAACTATGTTGCTACTGGGAAGAATTTTGATTTAAATATTTTCTCCGTTTTAATAGCTCGTTCGATTTGTCACGCATTTTCTTCATTGCCAATGGTAGAAATAACGAAGAGAATGCTTCATTCGATTTTACCGCGACGTCAACATGGCAACACCTTTGTAAAATACTCGTTACGTATTTATTATATTTAATTAGCAATATGTCAAAAAATGTAAAAAAAAAACATAAATATCGCTATTAAGAGGCTTGTGTATAGTTTTAATGTGAATAAAGTTGTGTTTATTTCTGAATGTCACTTGTTTTTATTAATCAATTATAAAATACATGTATGTCTGAATCTCATGACATAACTATCTCAATGATTGCTTAATTCCTTATTTGAACATTTACAATTGTCCTTTCTATTTGTAAAATATGTGGTATGTTATTCTACACTAGCTTTTGCCCGCGACTCCGTCCGCGTGGAACAGTTACTTTGGCATAACGCTAAATTTTACCCTCACTTCACTTACGTAGAAAGTGAAAATATTTTTGAATTAGAGAATGTTAAGGAACTATTTAAACCCCTATTTTGAAACATTCTTTATTGGTATTGGTCTTACCGCGATGTCATATATATGCCTATAGCCTTCCTCAATAAATGGGTTATCTAACACTGAAAGAATTTTTCAAATCGGACCAGTACTTCCTGATATTGGCGCGTTCAAACAAACAAACTCTTCAGCTTTATAATATTTTATTTTACATTTCCAATATCAAAAATTGTTATTATTATAAAAATCCTGCAAATTTATTACGCAGGTATTACTGACGGTATTATTAAATTTCAAAAAATCAATTAGTATGACCCATATGAAGATAACTTTGAAATTTGTGTAATAAAAATATTTTATATTGAGGAAATATGAGAAACTATATACATTTGATAGTTATTTAAGTTAGAATGAAATGGATAAAATTATGCCCAAAATATAGTTTATGTTTTAATTTTTTTTCATTATGGCAATCCTCTTCTTGCGATGCTGTGTTACCAGCGTCAAATTTATAAAGTCTTGACTTATTATTATATTAAAGGCATACATATCCTATGTTAAATGACGTAAACTGAAGGAAATATATTTATTTGAAACTAATTTAATAGGACTAAAATGAGCGAAATAAAATGGAACGAAACTTGGATGGATTTGAGATGAGTAACGTCCAAGTAAAATGATGGAAATTTACTGAGACTTTAGTAGACTTTTTTAGAAGAATCCCGATTTAAATTTTAATCACACCTATAAACAAGTTGCTCACTCAATCGTCCCCGCCATCTTGCTTTTTTCATTGACATTGTTTTCTCCCTTTCTTATCGTTCTCTCTCACTCACACTTTAACGTTCCATTCCACGCTCATTTCGAACGTTCCGTTCTTATCCATCCTAATTATTATGTATATTAAGGAGTTAAATGTTAAAGGCTATGTCGTTTAAGCGACTTTTCCTACCCAAGCTGGTGGTCTAGAGAGACCATTTCAGCGTAACCTTAACTAGTAGGTGAGCTCACGGGGCTCAAACCTGACGACGTTGCTAACACGAACCCTAGCATGAGCAGTGCTTCGCAGAATCTACCACCGGATCGGAAACGCGACCCACCGAGAAGATCCGGAGAGAAACTCAGTGGGCTGTGTCTGTGGGTTAACTTACTCGCCGAGCCCTTCGTCGCAAAAGACAGGTTCGACGAGAACGATGACCGGTGCTTGCGGTACCTAAAAGCACCGTTAGTGGATCGGGAGGATCCGTAGTGACGTGGTTTATGCGACATTTATCTTTGTAATTAAAGATGTGTTTTATTTGGTATTAAATAGCACCAACAGTTCGATGTTTTTAATTGAACTTCAATTATGTTTACTCCATTCAAATAGCTGAAGATTTTTTTGTTACTAACGACCCGCCCTCGCTTCGCTTCGGAAACTGTAATTTATTATTGATCTCTCCACTATTTAATGGACGTTATTAAACATATAAACCTTCCTCTTCAATCACTCTATCTATTAAAAAAAACCGCATCAAAATCCGTTGCGTAGTTTTAAAGATTTAAGCATACATAGGGACAGAGAAAGCGACTTTGTTTTATACTATGTAGTGATGATAGTTTTTCCATATTCTAAACTTTAAATGGCTCTCCTGTAAAGTTCCGATAATGACGCTTAAGCCACAAAGCCACCCCTCGATTCACCCCTCAACATGATAATACGGTCATTATTATATCATTCAAAGTTGGACCATTAAAATGTCCATGGATATAACAATCGTTCGCGACCTAAGCAATATCGCGCAATCGTGCTCTGAAGAATTGCTTGAGATGATACCATTATCTCGTTTTTACTATCACACCGCCTGCCACCGGAGTAGAGTTCATCCATACTACCTAGAGCCACTGCGTTAATCTACAGTGCGTTTCCAGAGATCTTTTTTGCCACGTACCATCCGGCTATGGAATGAGCTCCCCTCCACGGTGTTTCTCGAGCGCTATGACATGTCCTTCTTCAAACGAGGCTTGTGAAGAGTACTTAACGGTAGGCGGCGGCTTGACTCTGCTCCTCGCATTGCTGAAAACGATGGGCGACGGTAAACACTCACCATCAGGTGGGTCGTATGCTCGTCTGCCTACAAGGGCAATAAAATCTCGAAACCTGTATAGCATTTAAAGCATCGCAAAACCGTAATGCGAGCTTACAAATACGAGATTAAACCGTAAAACACGTTTTAAACATGAACTAGAGGTCCAGCAGTAGTCGAAATTCGACTATAATTGGAATTGTAAGTTTGTACACTATTATGATTGTATTTTATACTTCTATAATCACAAATTTACCCAAAACTATACTATAAAAAAATATTAATACAGACAAACAATATTTAATCTATTCTCAATTTGACCACAGACGTCAATAACAAAAGTTTGACAATAAATAGTATGCATGCGTGTGTACGTCAAATATAAATGGTATGTAGTGTGTGTAATGTTTTCTTTATTGTTTTAATATGCATTATTTAAAAAAAATATTAGCATTGTGCACCTCTTCTCTATATTCTCTATAAGTGTGGAAAATTTCATACTCCTCCGTCCGCGCAATTTTCGTAAAAAGGGATACAAAGTTTTTGCTTCACGTATTAATATATAGATAACTAAACTACACTACTGCTACTGTATGCAATTCTCGACTGAACTACATTTAACGAATTGTACAGGTAAAATTTCATCCCAACACCCTTTTTTATTTAATTTTTATTGCTTAGATGGGTGGACGAGCTCACGGCCCGCCTGGTATTAAGTGGTTATCGGAGCCCATAGACATCTACAACGTAAATGCCGCTATCCACCTTGAGACATGAGTTGTAAGGTCTCACTTTTAACAGTACGACGCCTGCCCCGCCCTTCAAACCGAAACGCATTACTGCTGCACGGCTGAAGGCTGCTAGGCAGGGCGGTGGTACCAACCCGTGCGGACTCACAAGAGGTCCTACCACCAGTAAAAACGTATCTGCTTGTTGACTGTTTTCTGATGTTAATTGTATTTTGGTGTGCAATAAAGTATGTTCTCTCTCTCTTTCTCTCTCTCTCTCTCTTACTTAAACTGCAGTGGATACGTCGTAACAAGCAAATTATTTTATTTTTATTTTGATACAACGTCAGAAATTGTTTCAGAGTTTATAACGCACAGAGCAAATTTATAAGCATCATTTTTGTCGCATACCAATAGAATTTGGGCTGTTTTTTTTCCCTATGCTCAGCAATTAATTAGCAGTCACCCTTTTTTTTTTTGGTCAGGAGGAAATCGCCGGACTTCCGCCCTCCACTGGGGATGGAGGAGGGCGGAGCATGTGAGAGTCGAACTGACTAAAACCTCCTGTTGCTCAACAACGAACGTCCAAACCTCGCATGAGACAGAACTTATGAAGAGGCAAGGGGAGGAAAGTGAAGCGCTTAGTGCGGAGCACATCTCTCCCATCACCCTCCCCCTCGGGACGTCGGACCGGCGGTCGTCGGCGCCACGACCACCAGCCCTCTCGGTTGACCCTTAGGCTAGATTAGTTCTGAGTGTCGGATACGAAGCAAAAAGAAATCAATCCAGACCCAGAATACTAAATATCCTTTGTCGAAAATGCAGTCTTCGATCGGGTATCAAACTCATGTCCAATGGGTCCAAGTCGCTAGATCAAAACTTCTCAACTAAAGAGGGGATCGTGAGGAAATGATAGATTTTTCTGGTTCGCCATTGAATTCTCTGTTCGTTCGTTCTACTATAACATTGGTACAAATCCTTACGGATCCATCAGACAATAAACCTTGCATTAGACACCTTTAGCTCTAACACTAGGAGTAGGGACCCCGGTAACCGTACTCGTGGAACTCGGCAAAGAGTTCGACATGCAACCTAACCTAAACATCAGCCTGCTGAGTTTCTCGCCGGATCTTCTCAGCGGGTCGCGATTCTGATCCGGTAGTAGATTAATTCGCGGAGCAGTTGCTCTTGAGTTGTTAGATCTCCTTTAGAGGCGCTCGGATAGCCTTTAGCAAATCCCACCCCTTCTGACTGGGCCCTTGCTCGCCCACCTGCCCTGGTAAAACTGGAAAGGCCTCCGGGCCATCAGTAATCTCTCAAAAAAGTTAATATTAAAAACCTTTTTAGACTAAAAAGGTTATTGTATTTAGTTGTATTGAATAATGCGAAGATGTACATATATGTA